CGGGGAACTCTGCAAAAAACGCATCTTCGCACGGGCAGCCCGTGCGTTGGCCAATTTTATAAATTTGCTGATGGGTGGCTATCTTGGGGGGAGCGCTATTCTGAGGATGAAATCGTTGGCTCGATTTGAGCAGTGGAAAAGCCGAATTCTCAGTGATTCTTTTATTCGTTTTATTTACTGATATTTTCATTGAATATATGTATTTCATAGAATACAGTACTTTCATAGAATAAATTTTCATAGAATATATACACTGTAAAGATATTTATATATTTATAATAAAAATTTTTCGATCAAGTTAGCAGAATCCTCTCTTCGACCAAGTGTTCATCGATCAGTAAATTTTTTAGCCTTCCCCCTCCTCCATCTTCACTTTGCTGGCCCTTTTTGTCAATCACTTCATTGCTTACTTTGTTAGTGTCCTTTATCACTGAATGAAAGCTAACGAAAAAAAAAGGCCGCTCCGATGATCTTCGAAGCGAGGACATATCAAATTAGCACAGGCTGAGGTGAAATACCATTTGGAGACATAAAAAATGTCCTAGCAACCATTTCTTCAACATCGAAGCTCCGCATCCGGAACATTATGGGCAGACTAGTTAGGGGGGGATTTTTCAAATTTTATCAATTCTAGGAGGAACTCCGCTTCCAGAGCATTATGAGCAGTTCAGTCAGCTGGGGGTTTTCCAAATTTTATCAATGCTAGGGGAATATGGTGTTTGGCGAATGAGGAAAATCGAGTTAAATGTTTATTGAACTACCGAAAATGATGAGCAAATTAAACAAATAAACGTCAGTAAAATACAAAATCTCATGCAACAATGCATTTCCACCGTTTGGATCTAATCACCATTATTTTTATATATCACAAGAATAAATTCACGCACACGTACTGTGCTTTCACCGAGCAGAAAGTATCGCTCTGCATCTATAAATACCGAAAAATAAAAAAAAAAAAATTTGTCTTTTTTCTTAAAAAAAATTAACACAGATTCGCTTCATTTCAGTCAAAGCAAATACCACGCGCGATCATACATTTTGTGCAATTCAGCAAAAAAAAACCTCAAAATTCTGCTTTGTTCCCGAATTGGAAAATGTCACGTCAAATTTTCCGCTCAAGGTCAAATTTCGAAAAGTCATCCTAAAACAGTTCAACACTTTAGTCCTCGAGTTGGAAAGATGCCAACAATTTCTGCCACAAAATTTTGTGCTTCTATTGGTGAGATCTAGGTATATCTAGATAGTGAATTTGAAATCTTTAGATCGCACATGGACAACACCTGTAAAATCGGCATTCTGCGCTCCTGTAGGAGCGAAAACCAGCAAAGGTGCTTCCAAAGTTCACAAAAAGCTCGTGAGAATTTGAGTCAAAATTTCACAATTTTCGATTTGTAAAGTCGAAAATCTCTAAATCTTTAAATTCTAAAAAGTCGAGAATCTCTAAATTTTGAAATTTTAGGCTGTAGTGAGAGAACTGAATCCCAGAGGATTCATTCAAAAAATGAAAAAAAAGCGTTAACTATTGACAGTTTTAAAAGAAACCCTATCGCTTATTTCGCTTTCTCGGCTGGCATGAACATTCGCAAATATGAAAGTTGCAAGGAACGTTCCAGATCTGCAAGATGGGCTACCGCACCAGACAGCTGAACAGCATGACCCTCGTAGAGTGATCCTGAAATATTCCAGTATAATATGGTAATTTTTTAAAATAAATGCCATGCTCCTCCATACATACTGTTGAAATTTACGTCATTTTTTGAGAACTAAATGAATATCAAGAAAACCAAAATGCTCGGGATTCAGTTAGGCTTTCCATGTTAGTGATGTTATTAGGATGTTTTCAACCACTGGAAGCAGTTCTACGGTGTCCTTCGATTCTAAGCTCCAAGCATCCTTCACTACATCGCTTTCTCTGCCACTGGACATGGCCGAGGACTTTCAAAGTCCAGTGAAAATAGAGGGGGAAAAAACCGGGGTGGCAAACCCAATTATATTATAGGGTTTTAGCAAATACATTTCATACTCCAAGGAGCACCTTCGCAGTTTTTGGCAAAAACTTTGTAGCTCTCCTCTCGTCTTAATGGAGCAAGTTATTAGAAGCCCGTACTGCCTTTCACTTCCAAGCTTTTGAAGAACCAATTTCCACATAGCTGACTAAGAACAAGGCACCATTGTCTTTATAAAGATATCAGCTTTTATCCAGCCCTGTTAATTTTCGAAAAAAGCTACCAATTTCACTTCCACCCTGCTGATCTTTGTAAGCTTAGGACTGGGAATCGCACACAGATCCGGGAAAATGATTGTGAAAGCCTAAGCAATCAAAACTGCTTGGACTCTCCTCCTATGTTCAGAGACTCAAAGTCGAAAAGTTTAGATTCCGATTCATTAAAAATCACTATTTCCAAATGCCTAAATGAAAAAGTAATAGAAAAAATAAGTACCGGTATTTGCTCGTTTCGCA